TACCACCTGTACCTTTGATGTGACTCTACTATCTTTCTTGGTTGGCTAACTTCGTCGTCAATGCAGTTGAAACCTTTTGGTACATCATCGCGTAAGCGAAATTCAAGAGACAGTCGGAGGCAATAATTGGCGCTATAGTCCATTAAATGAAAATCCTGCAGACCTCGCTTCGCGTGGACTTTCTGCAGATATACTATCAAGTTCTTCTTTGTCTTTGTTCTTTCATGAAATCATAAATAATTCATTACACCAAGCTGATATAAACGCTCAATCCAGTTATCATCTAATACCAATTAAACAAAATAACAATGAACTAGATAAATTAATTTCAGAATATTCCAAATACCTCAAATTACAAAGTATTATGGCTTATATATTGCGATTCATAAATAACTCAAAACACGGGTCTCTTAAATCATTAGGACCCTTAAGTTCTCAAGAACTCACTAACTCTACTAATTATTTAATTAGAATTGCCCAAGAACAATCCTTCTACGATGAATATAATTTATTAAAATGGGTAAGCAGTTACCAAATAAAAACAAACTTAACTCATTGTCACCGTTCTTAGATTCAAATAATATTATACGTGTTGGGGGGAGACTAAATAACTCATTTTATGATTATAACGTCAAACATCCCATTCTTATGTTAAGTTCTTATCATATAAGTTTTACTCTTTGAAATGTTTCACATTAAATTATTTAATGCTGGCCCACAGTTACTGCTTTCTACCATTCGGCATCATTACTGGCTTATTGGTGGCAGAAATTTAGCTCGAAAGATTACACGACAATGCTTAAAATGTTGTAGGATAAAGGCAAATACGATACAGCCAGTCATGGGAAACTTACCAGAGCAACGCTTTCACCTAGAATTCCCCTTTCTTGATTCCGGAGTAGACTACGCCGGACCATTACATGAATGACATTATGATCGCCGATAGAAAGGGGAGAGGTGCTAAACTCGTCAAATGTTTTATCTGCGTATTTGTGTGTTTGGCCACAAGAGCCGTCCATTTAGAGCTAGTGTCAGACATGACAAAGGATGCCTTCTTAGCTACCTTTAGCCGTTTTATTGCTCGTAGGGGGGAAACCACCCAACGTGCTTTCAGACAATGGCACTACGTTTGTAGGGGCCTTTAATGAATTGACTCAACTGCTGTCACAAGACCTACAATTAAACGACATCGATACAGGTATTAAATTTCCTTTCACACCAGCCTACACCTCATTTCGGAGGACTATGGGAGTCTGCTGTCAAATCCGTGAAACATCTGCGTCGAATTTTAGGCCTAACACATTTGACTTTTGAGGAAATGGCAACATGTCTATTCCAGATAGAAGCAATATTAAATTCAAGACCCATAGTTCCTATTTCAAATGACCCTAACGACCTCACTCCACTCACTCCTGCACATTTCCTTATTGGACGGTCTAGAGACCGTAACTAGTGTTATGTTGAACCGTATAACTAGAGTTATGATGCCTCATCCGAAGATTACCAATGTCAATGTCTCGCGTTTCCGTCGCATCGACTACCTAAAGCAACATTTTTGGAATCGCTTTTCTCATGGACACGTTTTATGGCTTCAGAAAAAAACAAATGATACGCTTAGCGAGGGGTCCATGGTTCTTATTAAGAACAAGGCGACTCCTCCCCTTATGTGGCCTTTGGGACGAGTCTTGCGCTTGTCGCCGGGCACGGACGGAATTTCTCGGGTTGCCGACATTCTCACACACAAAGGAGTCGTCCGTAGAGCATTTAACACCATCGTTCCGTAACCAACAGCTACGGTTGAAGACACTTCAACGGGGGGAGTATGTTCAGATCACTGAACTATATTTAGGTGAGAGAAGCGGTAAAACCGGTTTGCTGGTGGCTGCGGTCGGCTTGGAGTGGAGCCGGGAGTGAGCGAACGGACCTGGCACCGACAGTACGCGTGGACGCTCTATAATATCATTTTAATTTAAACATACTGTAACGTTTAATTCCTTATTATACCATTTTTTATATAAATTTGCAGTCATTTCATTTAGTACTACCACATCGAGAACAAACATCACCCAAGTGGAGTTTGTCCCAGGACGACTGTGCGGGCACTGGACGGGTCCCTGCCGTCCGAAACATTTCTCTATCACACAAAATCGACCGACTAGGCCTTGTTTGCCTTGTGTGTTAGGCGATTAAAATATACTTTAATCGCCTAAGAAACACAATAATGAGAAATAACATAACTTCGGCCCATAAATGTCTTCGACGCCTGATCGTGATTTCGAGGCCATGACTTTTTTGTGCTCCTTGTTTTACGTACAGCGTAGGTTATTAACTTGCTTGATAACGGCCTCTTTATTACTTTGAGAATCTATTAGTCTAGTTTAATAAATTAATCTAGTTTTAAAACGAGCTTCTCATAAGCTGAATCTTTTTTTCTCGATTATGATATTCCTTGCTTTTGGTTTTCCACAATGAAGGCTCCGATTGGTAGGTATAGTTGTATAAACTCTTCCAGTCATTCGCGTTGAGCTACGGTTGACGAGTTTTCATAAAGGTGGATAGCAAGAAAAAAAGGTGTGTTTACTTCACGCTCGCTGCGACAAAACTGAGGAAACTGCTCAATTTTCGGCTACACACTCAGTTTTAACTGTACAGTCCTATCTGTACGGATTTGTCTATTGATATTTTGATTAGATCTCAGTTAAACTGTGTTCCCACTAAGCAAGTGGATTGGCAACCTGAATTTACTTCATGATTTCGAAATATTTTCATCCAAATAGATATATAGTTTTCTTGATGGTTTTATTTTCTCCTGAGCAAGTGCTAAATCAGCATGTAAAATTGGTATTACTAATGGAATCCAACTCGCTTATGTACCGTGTACCGCTAAATATAAGTTTTTAACGTTTGCGACACGTATAATTACAATGTAATATAACCATCACTTAATTAAGAAACAATTAACTTTTTTACTTTTTATTTTCTTCATAGACATATTATAAAGTAATAAAAATAAATAAATAAACAGAAAGGAGTATATCGATGTCGATGGTTGCTAAAATTGGGAACGAGACCACAATAGATGGTCATGATAGAAGTCATATCTTGTGAAATAACGTCACACGTAATACTACTACAATATGGACTAATTTCTTATAGTAAATTAGAAGATACGAGTGCATTGACTCTTATATTTGGCATAGGATAAAGATACCAAAGATGATCACTTGTTATTAAAGCTCTACGCATACAATACACGTAACATCTTTCAATGCGATCCTCATTTTGTTTTATTTGACATTTAAATTAGAAAAAGCGAGACCAGTAGATTGACTCAATTTATCTATAATTGTAAGTTCTCTCTATGTACTTGTATAGTATGTAATTACTCTAAGGTTTGGATTTTTATTAAACAGTTAAAACTTTTTGGTAGAGAGTGTGTTCTGTGGTTTAAACGTCACTCAATGTCAATATAGCCTGATGAAAAATTAGTATCGAAATTTTCCGTGCAATATCAATCGAATTCCGAAATGATATAAATGAAACAGCGCCTTCTCCTCTACATAGTATTATTTTCTATACTCACTAGTGTTGTGCTCCTTTTGCTTCTGCGATTAGGAATTTTGGAATGGTGTTTGTCAGGTGCGTGTGTACAATGAAAAATTCAGTTTATTTCTAAAATAAATTATTTAATCTAGTATGATTAACCTTTCGTTTGTACATAAATAAAATAGCTCAATATGCAATTCAAAATGTTTGCTTCGTACAGTATTTTTACCGGCAAATAATGTTAAATCATGTGTAATTTTACATACCAACAGATTAAAGTTATGTCTTTTTTGATTATTTACTATCGAATAAAACTATTTATACGGATTTTATCGCGTTCAATTAATTTATTTTTAAATCTTGACGTTTCGGGTGCTTTACAGCATGTCATAGTTAACCCAGGTTTCAATATTAATTTTTGGTCCGATCTACGCAGAATAAGCTTACAGTATTGCAGTGGTATGCTTGAGTTTCGATTTAATTTTGTTAATTATAGGATCCCAAGCAAATGGTAGCATCTATCTATCTTCACTGTTGAAATTAGGATCTTTTTTATAAATTCGATAGCTTCGCGTATCATCCTTGGTAGGAATCGGTGTTCTTTTGCGAGGATTTGTGGTATATCAAATCTGACGTAATGGCGCTCGTATAAATAGTTTTATTCAATGTGTATGTAGTGTTAGTGTAAATATAGAAATCATTAGATTATTTTCTAAATAAAAAAAAACACCTTGAAAATATCTAACATATTTCTGTAATCATTTTATAAATAGACCTATTTTGAATACTTAATATTTATATTTTAGTATATCATATTATTTTTTAAGTAAAACTTTTGGTAAATCCAAATGTACGAGTACATGACTTAAGTTACCGGAACACCCAAAATTTCGGAATTCCTCAGCCGAAAAAATTAATTATAGCTAAACAAAACAAAATTAAACAGACATTTACATTCCATGACTTCCACACGATAGATGAAGGGATTAAAAAATAGGTTAAGTTGCATAATTGATTTTTTCAAAAGTTATCGTGTTTACCCGAATGGTGTCAATTGATAAATCGACACCATAAGCCATAAAAGCTTTTTTTAATTTAAAAATAGCAATTTTATCGATTAAAAAAAAATTATAATAAATTCAATTATCATTTATCTTTCTAACAATGTGCTTTTTATATCATTTATATGTTCAATATGATTGTTAGATACGATTTTATGCGGCAAAACTTTGTATTCTTGATGTTTAGAACGTTTAGAATGTGTAGAACATACCTATAGGTATGTTCTACACATTCTAAACGTTCTACCATTTCATTTGTAGACCCGGGTCAAGTCGACTCATTTGTGCTACAACCATAATATAGCTGCATGGGGGCTCTACCATGTACAAACAGCGTGGCTCCACCACTTGTAGACGTGACGGCAGAGCTGAGAAAGTGTGTGCGATTGTTGTTCACTGCAGGTGGCATAGCAAAGTCCGCATTATAGCTGGCGAGCTTGTAGTGACGGAAGACATAAGTAGAAGCTGAAGGCGGTTTATGTGTGTGCGCAGGGTCGCGCTACGTGTCGTGGCTGCCCAGCTTCTCGGTGGAGGTGACGCGTGTGCGCGCGCCCCTCGTACCGCCTGACGCCTCGCAGCTCGACGCCATGGCGCGGCAGGTAAACCACACGCTACACACGTGCACACGATGCACACACTACACGCGCCGCCGGCGCCTCGCAGCTTGACGTCACGGTTTGGCAGGTACAAGTTATACACCACACACGCTACACACGTGCACACGATGCACACGCTACACGAGCTACACGCGCCGCCGGCGCCTCGCAGCTTGACGTCACGATGTGGCAGGTACACGCTATACATCACACACGCTACACACGTGCACACGATGCACACGCTACACGAGCTACACGCGCCGCCGGCGCCTCGCAGCTTGACGTCACGATGTGGCAGGTACACGCTATACATCACACACGCTATACACGTGCACACGATGCACACGCTACACGAGCTACACGCGCCGCCGGCGCCTCGCAGCTTGACGTCACGATGTGGCAGGTACACGCTATACATCACACACGCTACACACGTGCACACGATGCACGCGCTACACGAGCTACACGCGCCGCCGGCGTCTCGCAGCTTGACGTCACGATGTGGCAGGTACACGCTATACATCACACACGTTACACACGTGCACACGCTACACGAGCTACACGCGCCGCCGGCGCCTCGCAGCTTGACGTCACGATGTGGCAGGTACACGCTATACATCACACACGTTGCAACTCACACGATGCACACGCTACCCGCCCACCACCAGGAGCTACACGCGCCGTCGGCGCCTCGCAGCTTGACGTCACGATGTGGCAGGTACACGCTATACATCACACACGCTACACACGTTCACACGATGCACACGCTACACGAGCTACACGCGCCGCCGGCGCTTCGCAGCTTGACGTCACGATGTGGCAGGTACACGCTATACATCACACACGCTATACACGTGCACACGATGCACACGCTACACGAGCTACACGCGCCGCCGGCGCCTCGCAGCTCTACGTCACGATGTGGCAGGTACACGCTATACATCACACACGTTACACACATGCACACGATGCACACGCTACACGAGCTACACGCGCCGCCGACGCCTCGCAGCTTGACGTCACGATGTGGCAGGTACACGCTATACATCACACACGCTACACACGTGCACACGATGCACACGCTACACGAGCTACACGCGACGTCGGCGCCTCGCAGCTCTACGTCACGATGTGGCAGGTACACGCTATACATCACACATGCTACACACGTGCACACGATGCACACGCTACACGAGCTACACGCGCCGCCGGCGCCTCGCAGCTCTACGTCACGATGTGGCAGGTACACGCTATACATCACACACGCTACACACGTGCACGCGATGCACACGCTAAACGACCTACACGCGCCGCCGGCGCCTCACAGCTCGACGCCATGGCGCGGGAGGTTACACGCTATACACCACACACACTACTCACGTGCACACGATGCACACGCTACACAAGCAACACGCGCCGCCCGATACCTTGCAGCTACATCACCACTTATCATCAGGTGGGATTGGTGTTAAGCGCTGACTATTTGTCTGTGTTAATGGTTTCATCTTTTTTGTGTACCTGAACACTAGTATTCCTTTGTCATACCAAACTGTGGCCATGTTTTTACCGGTCGATGGAGTGACTTTGAAGTTCTTGGGGGGTGGGGGTCTGATCCCTTTTTATGTCATTGCATAGACTAGCATAGATTGTGGTGAACACACGTTTCATCTACTGTAACTATCCTATCGAAGACACTTGGGTCGTCACCACACAGCTCTAAAAAAATCCCTACAACAGTCAACCCACGCCTGCTTTAAAACCGCAGTAAGCATTCACGGTACTCATCTTGCACTGACTTGTGAGGTGGAGATAGTCATGCAATATGGTGTCTGGATGACCTTTTTTACCGTCTGGAAAAAATAAGATGTAACATGTGAATTGAGTAGAAGAACAATGAACAAAGAAAAAATGAGCAAAAGAAGAAGCCTATGGCACAGATACAAAAATTTTGAATTTAATAAATAAATTAATTAAAATCTATCGAAATTCAAATCATCTCTACCCTACTTTACGAACGGAAATAAAACAATAAATTTAGTAGGCATCTTTGACCTTGTCACTTCGCAGGGTCACAGACTCAAGGGCAAAGGGCAAAGTAATAGTTCAAAAAAATTTTCAAACGTTTAATTCAAAATTTTTGTTTTTATATTTTGTAAAATATCAGAGCCAAGGCGTTTACACCGTTCACATGTTACACCCTATTTTTTCCAGACGGTTATATATATATATATATATATATATATATATATATATATATATATATATATATATATATATATATATATATATATATATATTAATTTAATGTATATATAATATAATAAAAAATAAGCCGCTAGTTTATGGAACCTGTACTTTACAGCAGCAGCACTACATACTAAACTCGGTACCTACATACTACATAATGCACGAAAAATTTACAACACGCTACACGGTTAACATAAAATGGAGATGTAACGATAGAGTGTTTGCAGGTGCAACAAGTATTCCCACAGTTCACCCTGAGCGCGTTGGCGCGTGATCTGGCCCAGACTCTGTCTCCAGACCTGACCGTGGACAACATCCTGGGCGGCCGGCTGCTGCCACGCCAACACCTGGGTGCGTGTGCTATAGTTACTCCTTTATGTCTCCCTTAACGGCTTTGGTCAATGCAACAAATACGTCTTAATATTTTAATGGCAGAAGTGTTTTAAAAGTTGAGCTACCGTCACTTCAATATATGCGAATCATAGATAAAATGTACTAGATAGGATAAGATATAAAATTACATCACCTTGGTGAACTTGGATTTGTTACCTGAATGATGTGTATGCAGTAATATATTTGTTTGTTTAGAAACTGTTATAGAAATGTTAATACACACACATATATATTGTTATATCACATTATTTCCACGTCCGGGGTTGACTGGGAGAATGCCAGAAGGTATTAAAGGTCGCTTCATACGTAACGTGTTTTATTCCGGACGGAGCGGGACGTGAAATTTTGGAAATATCGTTTCATAGAAAATGTACGTGATAATGCATACGTAACGGATGCACGGACGGGACGGGGACGTGGCATTAACGGGACGGGAAAAACATCGTCGGCGACGATGTTTACTCCGACCCGTCCGGCGCGTGCCACGTCCCGTCCGTGATTCCGCTGCGTATGCACAGTCGCTACGTTGGCTCCGTAGTAATGCGCGTGCCGTACTAAACAACATGGACGATGAAAAACTAATTGAATGTTTGTATAATCTTGCACACCCAAAGTATTTGGACACAAAATATAAAAAAATTCTGTGGCAGAAAATTGAGTCGAATTATGACTTACTGCAAACGGTTAGTAAAAATTTTGTTTATCATTTATTGTTTTCATAGTTTTACAATAGATGAATAGATTAATAGGTAACAATAAAAGTTGAAATTATTTATGCTCAAATCAAAAGACAGTTACGTAAACAAAATAGACTCATGTTTTACAATGTCGACATTTATTACATCAGTAGAATTAAATATACAACAGAATTATAAATATAAAAAAGATATAATCAACTTTTTGACAGAGTTTTGGTTAAAATGTGTTTGTAGAGCGTTTATGGATAAGGGTGTTAGTATCCATGCATGATAAAAATGCCGATTGAGAATTGAAACAAAACTTTGTAGAGAAGTAGCAATCAATGCCAATTCTTCAAATGAAAAATCAATCTTTCACAACACTAACACGTTAGTTTCGAATCACTGTCACGGTGCGTATGCATTAAACTCTAATGGTGGTTAATATAGCGCATAGCGCCATATTATAGCGCGCTATCTCTCCATAACGCATAGCGCGTGTTATGTAAGTAGTCGCCACGGCGCTACGGCGCTATGGCGTTTTGACGCTATTAAGTATTAATTAATATATAGCGGTAACTAGTTCTAGCTAGCAGCAGCGCTGTTGGGAGAAGACGTGTGACGCAAATTTGATCTAGTAGCACGCTATACATCGCGCGCGACCTAATTTAGTGTTAGAGTTTATTAGTGAGCGAAGGATACAGTTGTCTACTATAAAAGAAGCGTAACTAATGTTTTTAAATGTAAATAAAATATAGATACTAAAATGTATACAATAGTGTATATAATAGTGTATGTATAATTAGTTGATTTTTATAAATACAATCAGTAAACTTTTAAATACACCGTTATTTGATTTGTAATTTATATTAAGGTTAAAATGACGTTTGCATCAATTATAATAATAAATAATTAACTTTATTTCGTTTTAAAAAGTACATGCCTGAAAAGTATGAAAAAGCATTTAATGGTTTTTCTTTACAGCTTTATTTTAGACTAAAATGTGACTTATTACGAAATAATGTTCTTATATAGCACGCGGTCTATAAACAACATGTATTGTAACGTGCTACGAGATATAGCGTGCTGAAAAACTTAACGCGCTTCCCGGACTCCTACACGGTTTCATATAAATAGCGCTCTATAACATAGCGTATTTAATAGCGCGCTAGAAATTTATAGTTTATAGTTTGTAGCGTCCTATTGATTTATAGTCGTTTTGAACAACTTTATTAAACTCCCGTCCGTGTTGACAAACAACCACGTCCCGTTTCCGTCCCGTGCACGTTATGATTCCGTCCTGTATGCAGCGACCTTAAGTCTGCCTTGTATCTTTTTTATTAAGGTGTACAATAATTTATAAATAAATTAATAATTCTAAGAGCATGTTACAACTTGTTTGTTGTTTTTATTTTAAGAACTGTTTAAGCTCTATACTAATGTCGGCATACGTAAAACTTAAATCTATTTAGTTGCCCTGGATATTTGGCATTTTGCCACAAATTCATGTGTAAACCTCTAAATAATGACTAATGTGACTTTTGTAAAAAAAAAACCTAAAATTTTTTGTTACACTGTATGATATTCTACTGGGTTTGGCGTATTACCGATACAATCTCCCTACAACCAAGAATCCAGGGGCTGACTAAAAAGCTCGAAGCAGTCGGCGGAATGCAATAATATGAAAGTTCAGCAGAGTGTATCGCACAAGGGTCCGTAAAGCACAAGAACAACACTTTTTTCAATTGGACTGTGCAGAGTTACCGCCAATCTGTACAGCGCTACGGAACATGCACATTGATTACACATGGACAAACTTATTATTGTGTAGTGGCGGTCTAGGAATATCTACTACCCCATATCATCCCGTGGGTATCGTAATGTCGTAAGAGCCAACACAGGGAACCATCAGGAGATGGGTGGCAGCGTCTTCATAATAACGACCGCGGTTGCCAACCCGCTTGCCAAGCATGGCAACTGTAGCAAATATCCTCCCTATCAAAGGCAATCTGTGGGGGAGGCTTATTTCAACAGTGGACTGTAGTAGTAAGCTGTAACGGTAACGGACAAGACAAGACCAGGCATAAATATTTATAGGCCATACGAATTTGTTGGAGTCCCACTGGCAGGCTTCACTGAACTGTCGTCATATAATTGTAGGTTGAAAATCCTAAACACAAATTGTTTTCTTTAACAGAAGAGCCTCCGACAGTACCACTACCAGAAACAGTCACAAATGTCAGCAGCGATACCACTTCCACGAACACCTCCAGCACTTCAAGCGACAGTCGCAATGCCAGCAGCAGTTCCGCAGAGCTTACCGCAGAGCATGAAGAACTGTAAGTGTGAACATTCTAATTACTTGTGAACTTCGTTACCCTGTTGCCCCAAAAAGAGAGTAATGTTTTTAAGTATGTATATATGTATGTAAGTATGTATGTATGTCTATTTCTTTGGCACGCTCTGAAGCCTAAATGACTTGATGGATTTTAACATATGAGGTGTCGTTATGAAAATTAAAATTAAATATTTTTTCCTAAAATAGAGTAACAAAGCTGAACACAAAGAAAAATAACTTATATTAGGTTTTAATTATGTATATAGGTATAATTGTTTTTGTATTAGCGGACCTTACGCCTAGGCTAGCCTAGCTACTAGGCCTGTATCTGGGGGACGAAGAGCACAGTTGTTATCAGTTTTAGTTACATAATCGAAACTAGCCAAATTCTTCAAAATAAATAAATCATTTCTTTATTTAGAGGACTGTGAATCTGTAATTTTGCATACATAAAGCGATAACGTCCCAACCCCCTCCCCCCGTAAACAGACAAATTTTGATAATTTTTGGAAATGTAGATGTAATGAAAAACTAGATCCGTACGTTCTTACCTTAAAGAAATATCGCGAACGATACAAGTTATTAGCATCTAAATATCTATATTTGACTTAAAAACTTCCTCGAGCGTTTTTAATTTTTTTTTAATTAAACTAAACTGAATTACTAAACAAGAAAAACGTACAAACCTAGATTACGGTGTACTGAATGTAATGAGACTATAATTGTGTCTCATTTCGTAAAGGTCATCGACCGAGACCGAGATCGAGTCTGAGAATGAAAACGATAGCGACTGAAACAATATTTAAAAAGAAAATTGGCTACATTTACCCCCAAGACTTGCAACTATCTTTATCGCACGATACGGCGACACTGAGCGAGCGGTATGAAACAGATAGTATTTTTGAAGGTACTCCTACTAGCGCCGCGTATGGGCACTTCACAACCCTCTTAAGTAGATAGCTAATAACCTTTTGTCCCTTACATTATTATTTATTACTGGCCGTTCCCCCGCGACTTTGCCCGCGTGGATTTTTTAATTGAATTTCATGGCTTTTAATATTTTGCGCCGAAACTTAACTCTTTTTCTCGGTCCAGCCGCTTCGAAGATTAGCCGAAACAAACAGACAAAAAATTTAAAAATTGTTTTTTTTTTCTTATAAGTACCTACCGTGTATTGAAGTAGTACAATATACAATATTCATTTGCCGTGTAGTGGCGGTTAAGAATATCCACTACCCCATATCTTCCCGCGGGTGTCGTAAGAGGCGACAGAGGGAGACAGGCAGGAGATGGGCAGCAGCATCTTCCTGGTAACAGCAACTGTACGACAAAAAAACTGCGGTTGCCAACCCGCTCGCCAAGCGTGACAACTATGGCAATATACCCCCCATGAATACATTTAAGAATTACACAATTAGACGGCCCCCAGTCCCCGGCGGCCCCGCTATTCCTGGCTACGGTGGCGACCATGGTAATGGCGGGGCAGGGGGGTGCTAAGAATCTCCGGTGGAGGTTCGGTTGCCACCTACGACGACTCGACCTGGCAACATTTAACGCACGCACTCTGAGGACTGACGAGAAGATCCTGGAGCTGGAAGAAGAGATAGACAAGTTGCGCTGGAATATTATAGGATTATCCGAGGTCCGAAGAGAGGGGGAGGACACGGTGATTCTCGAATCCGGCAACTTGTTCTATCATCGGGAGGACGACCATCTGTCCCAAGGAGGGGTTGGATTTATCGTCCACAAGTCTCTCGTCAACAACGTTGTGAAGATTGGGAGTGTGTCGACGAGGGTCGCGTACCTGATACTCAGAATCACCAAACGGTATTCGCTGAAGGTCATACAGGTTTACGCACCAACTTCGGCACATCCCGATGAGGAGGTGGAGGAAATGTATGAGGATATTTCCAAAGCCATGCATTCCTCCAAAACTCACTACACGGTGTTGATGGGAGACTTCAACGCAAAACTAGGCACAAGAGAAAACGGTGAGCTGAAGTTAGGGAAATTTGGAGTAGGGCAACGGAACCGAAGGGGCCAGCAGCTGGCCGACTTTATGGAGAAAGAGGGACTCTTTATGATGAACTCTTTCTTCCAGAAGCGACCCCACAGGAAGTGGACCTGGTCGAGCCCCGACGGTTCGACAAAAAATGAGATTGACTTCATTATGACGACCAGACGCCAACTGTTCAGTGATCGCAAGGGTGAAAACTGGCAGCGATCTCCGAATGGTTCGAGGCACACTGAACTTAAACGTTAAGTTGGAGAGGTCTTGTCTAATGAAGTCTACGCTCCGTCCCCCTCGTGCTCTAATCCAGAATCCCGAAAACTTTCAGCTCGAGTTACGTAACCGCTTTCAGTGCCTACAAGATTGCAATTCAGTGGACGATATGAATGACAAGCTCGTGGAAACTGTCCATGCGGTCGGAGCTAAGTTCTGCAAGACCCGCCGCAGAAGAACACAAAAACTCTCCGATCACACTCTTAATCTCATGGCTGTTAGACGGGAGATGAGGCTACAATCGTCAACAGATTTGACAGCATACAGGCAACTGAACAGACAGATCTCCAAATGCATGCGGCGAGACTTACGCAACTTTAATACTTCTCGTATTAAAGAAGCGATCGAGCGGAACCAGGGCTCCAAAGTCTTTGCCAGAATCTGTCTGCTAGTAAGAGCCAACTGTCAAAGCTGAAGACTGAGTGTGGCAGCATCGTTTCCGGGACACCTGAGATTTTGAGTGAGATTGAGAGGTTCTATGGGCAGCTGTACACATCATCGTTGGAGCCACACGCAAGTGTGAGTAACGATTCAAGAGCAAGTCTTATCCGACACTATTCCGATGATATCCCGGACGTCAGTCTAAGCGAGATTAGAATGGCTCTCCAGCACCTTAAAAACGGCAGGGCCCCAGGCGAGGATGGAATTACAGCGGAGCTTCGGAAAGCGGGTGGAACACCGGTACTTGAAGTCCTTCAGAAGCTCTTCAATTCCGTCCTCCATGGCGGCACTACTCCAGAGGCGTGGAGCAGAAGTGCGGTGGTCTTGTTCTTTAAGAAAGGCGACAACGCTCTCTTAAAGAACTACAGACCGATTTCCCTTCTGAGCCGCGTCTATATGCTGTTTTCGAGAGTCATTACGAATCGTCTCGCACGCAGACTCGACGACTTCCAGCCTCCTGAACAAGCCGGTTTCCGAAAAGGCTTCAGTACTATAGACCACATACATACCCTGCGGCAGATTGTACAGAAAACTGAAGAGTACAATCTGCCACTTTGCCTGGCGTATGTGGACTATGAGAAAGCCTTTGATTCCGTCGAAATTTGGGCGGTGCTACAGTCCCTCCAGCGGTGCCAAGTTGACTGTCGGTATATCGAAGTGCTGAAGTGTTTGTACAGTAGGGCTACGATGGCTATCCGAGTACAGAACCAGTGCTCGAAACCTATCCAACTGCAGAGAGGTGTAAGACAGGGTGACGTTATATCCCCGAAACTCTTCACCGCTGCATTGGAAGACGTTTTCAAGCTACTGGACTGGAAAAGATACGGTATTGACATCAATGGCGAGTACATCACTCACCTTCGATTTGCCGACGATATAGTCCTTATGGCAGAATCGCTGGAGGACTTAAGCACTATGCTCAATGACCTCAATAGTGCCTCCCAACGGATAGGTCTTAAGATGAACATAGACAAAACAAAGATCATGTTCAATATCCATGTCACAGCTATGCCGGTAGTTGTTGGGAGCACTATGCTCGAAGTTGTTGACGAGTACGTTTACCTGGGACAAATAGTCCGACTAGGTAAGTCCAACTTCGACCGAGAGGTCAATCGACGGATTCAACTCGGCTGGGCAGCGTTCGGAAAATTACGACATATATTCTCGTCAGGTATACCTCAATCTCTAAAAACTAGATTGTACAACCAGTGCGTGTTGCCAGTGATGACTTACGGATCTGAGACGTGGTCCTTCACTGCTGGCCGTATGAGGACGCTCAAGGTCGCTCAGCGAGCTATGGAGAGGGCTATGCTCGGAGTTTCTCTGCGTGATAGACTCAGAAATGAGGATATCCGCAGTAAAACCAGAGTGACCGACATAGCCCAACGGATTAGTAAGCTGAAGTGGCAATGGGCCGGCCATATAGCTCGAAGAACCGATAACCGATGGGGAAGAAAGGTTCTTGAGTGGCAGCCTCGTACCGGTAGGCGTAGTGTAGGGCGACCCCCCACTAGATGGAGTGACGACCTGGTAAGATATGCAGGAAGTCGATGGATGCAGGTGGCTCAGGACCGTGCTTTGTGGCATTACTTGGGGGAGGCCTATGTTCAGCAGTGGACTTGTGAAGGGCTGTAATATGATGATGATGATGATGATGAATATTCATTTAGTAAACAGCTTTTATTTTGACATTACAAACGGACAGTTCAATTTTATTTATTTGTATGGATTCGTTAGATTCGTCTTAGCTGTGAAAATGTAATCAGTAAACCTTTTTACGCAGTGGGTTTTTTTATTACTGTTTTAACCTTTAAACTTACCAACGTTTATAAGAATTTGTGAAACTGGGGAAGCAAGTCAGAAATGTGATGAGCGCACATAATGCACTCTGACTAACGAAGAAATCATTTGTAAAGATACTCAATACCGATATTTGTCAGTTTAATACGGATATATTCGTCAACTGATATTATAATATTTAAACTAATGTATGAATATTACTGGTATCTTAATATTTAAACTAATATATGAATATTACTGATATCTTAATACGACGGTTATACGTATTACAATTCTATTCATGTACATAGGTAACAAGTTTATTTTACCAAGTAGGTAATCTTATTAGTTTTTATAGTGATGAATGTTAGGTTTATATGCTTTGATAAATATTAATGTTGTTATTAAATAAATTATATTATAGTACTTATATAAGTATGTATTATTAAAAGTGATTTTAAGTGATTAGAAAAAAAAATTCCACTGCACAAAACAAG